CCATGCTGGCAGCCCTTTTTTCTTGAAAGATTTGATTGGTATGCTACAGTGAGTCATGAGGAAAATACCTGGGGATCAGGGACATATGTAGTCATTTTGTTTTTACTGGAGAAAATATAATTGGGGATGTAGAAAAGCCATAGGTTTGATCCCCAGCATTGCAACAACAAAAGAAAGATTTTAAAAATTGATTTAAAATAGAACGATAACTGTGAGCAAGTATATAAGGGAACTTTTAAATTGCCAGGAAGAAAAAGGGAATTGAATTAAAAATTTGATAAATCCAGCACAGGAATGAGAAACAATAAATACAGTAACAAGTGTAATTAATTTCAAGAATGTATGTTGGAAGCAAGCCAAAATATAATTTTTCATAATAGATGTGAATTTTTAAATTTCCTATCAAATGGCAAAATCAAAAGTTCAATTTAAGCTATTTATAAGAAATACTAGTAAAGTCAAACAGTAGAGCTGGTGGGAGCAGACTCAATCTGTTGATTTGGTAATTTGGTGTTTGGTAAAATTTAGAATAGCAAACTTAGGGATGTTGCTCAGTGGTAGAGTGCTTACCCATCATGCATCAGGCCCTAAGTTTTATCCCCAGCAGAAGGGAGTCTAAAGGGGACAAGCCCACCCACACTTTAAACCGCCTTTGGAGAAGCTTATTGTAATCCCAGCACTCAGGAGGCTGAGACAGGAGGACATTATTAATTCAAGGACAGTCTGAACTCTATAGCAAGATCCTGTCTCAGTTACTTGTATTTACCTAGCCCTGCATTCAGTCCTCCATACCACATGAACCCTACATACATGCCTTTAATCCCAGTGCTCTAGAAGCAAAGGCTGGAAGATCATAAATTCTAGTGACTGTCAGCTGCATATCATGTTGGAGGCTAGCCTGGGCTGCCCGACACACCATCAAAACAAAAATTAACACTTAATGGGGATATCATTAACGTGGTAAGGAATGCTATGTACTTTTTTCTAAAAAGAATGGAAAACAAAATACTTATATCGAAATTTTACACCCCTCCAAAAAGAAGGACTATGTTTTTTGCAGTACTGGGGATTGAACCCAGAACCTTGAATATGCTAGGCCTGTGCTCTGCTGCCAAGCTATGCCTCTAGTCCAAGGAAGAATTATTAACAGGAGAAGCAAAAGTACTAATAACCAAATGGAAGGTGTTCTACGAGATGTCTTTTCCTGAAGCCCTCAGTTGCTTTGTGGCGCACGCCTTTAATCCCAGAACTCTGGAGGCAGAGGCAGGCAGATCTCTGTGAGTTCGAGGCCAGCCTGGTCTACAAAGGGAGTTCCAGGACAGGCTCCAAAGCTACAGAGAAACCCTGTCTTGGAAAAACCAAAAAAAAAAAAAAAAAAAAAAAAAGAAGAAGCTACTTCCACCAGTTCAAGGGTGTTGGCTTCAAATCTTGTCTTGAAGGAGATTGAGAAGTAGCTTAAAGAAAGGGAACAGTCAGGAAATCAGTGGCACCTCTGCCCTTAAGGTGAAGGAGGCCCTGGGATCTACGAGCTGCCTGAGTGGTAGACACAAGGAAGGGCATGGGCGGGCACATCCTGACTCAGACACAAAGGCCAGCTTCATCATCACACCACCACCATGGCTGACTCAGCCCCGCTGGCTTTGGTGGCTGGTAAAACGGAATCCTCAGTCGCCTTCTTTTCAGATAAATTAGAAATCACTGGGTCTGGTGATGAAGTTCCCGTTTCTTCTGCTTCGGCCAAGTAAAGCTAAGTTGTGAAGAACTCCCTTTGGCCACTTTGGAAAATCAAGATGAAATATGCAGATATCCATGAACTTCATGGTTGGAACCTAGACCGAAAGAAACATTTGCAAACAGCATTAGATTAATTGTTCTTAAGTGGGTATGACCAATCTTGTTTTCCTAAGCCTGGGGGAATAGGACTTGGGGATGTGCTATGGCTTTAGGGAATTGCATACAACTGCGCATGACCAAGTGCTCAAATATGCTAATTAGATTTGGAGTAAGTTTGGGCTTCAGGATAAAATAAGAACTGTAAATTCTAAAGACTGCTTAGCAAAAGTTCTCATTTTACTTCTAAATATATTTAGGAATTATTCTGTTGAAAATTCACGTTGAGAGTTTCTCTTGAGGGAACTAGAAAAACTAGAGTGCCAGTAGCTGAGCCTGCCAGGGGTTGACCAGTAGTTGGTATTGTAGGCCTAATAATCTTCATCAGTTCTCGTGGGTAGTTCTTGAGATTCTGAACAAGATTTTTTTTAATATTCAAAATTTTGCATTTTATGCAATCAGACATAATTTTTAATTAACTACAGATATTCAGAATGTGGGGGAGAGAAGCTGAACACAAGCCTATTTTTACGTAAAAATAATTTTAATTGAATTTTCTCCTTGAAAAAAACAGAGTCTTAAAGTCATACAATGGTATTGATAAAAATAACTGAACAAGTCAGGGAATGGTGGTGCACGCTTTTAATCCCAGCACTAGGGAGGCAGAGGCAGGCAGATCTCTGAGTTCATGGCCAGCCTGGTCTACAGAGCTAGTTCCAGGAGAGCTAGGACTGCACAGAGAAACCCTGTCTCAAAAACAAAAACCAAAAGTCAATCAATCAATCAATGAATAAGTAGTTTGTTTTCAGCTTCAGAAACTGTATACAGTTGCCAGGCTCTAATCTCATGTTAGTAAGCCCATAAAACTGAGTATTTTTGTTGTAGTTTTTCTTTTTCATATGTTTAGTTATCTGCAAATAGTTTTGGGAACTTCCCCAATCCTAATTATTTCTTTTTAAAATTGTGCTTATTTATTTTCTGTGAGTTCCTGTGCATGCACTCAGTCTGTGGTAGAGCCCTTGGGGCCCAGAAGAGGGCTTTGGAACTGGAGTTACAGGCAATTGTGGGCTGTTAAGTGGATCCTAGGAACTGAACCTGGGTCTTCTGCAAGAGCATTCGTGCTCTTAACCATTGAGCCATCTCTCCAGCTCCCTAATTTTATTTCTTACAATATCGGTATGTATTAAATTAATGCTTTTGGAAGTGAGTTGATAGAAAATCAAATGGCTCTTCCTTTAAAAAGCTACAGTGAATGGAAATGCCCACAGAATTAGAAAGAATTTCAATAATAAAAAGGCTGTTTACAATAGTTGAGTCTGTATACATACACAGAACATCGGAAATAAGGAAGCAGATGTTTGTCAGGGTACAAACGTTTGAAAATAATTTAATAACAGTATAATGGAAACTTTATGGCAATAGAAAAAAATTGTTATAGTTTTTCAAGGCAAAGTTTTTTGTGTCACAGTCCTGGCTGTTCTAGAATTTGCTTTGTAGACTAGGCTGGCCTCGAACTCAGAGAGATCCGCTTGTCTCTGCCTCCTAAGAACTGGAATTAAAGGTGTGCACCACCACTGCCCGGCTTCTTTTATTTGTTTGTTTTCAGATATTTTTTTTGTTTGTTGTTGTTTATGGCAATACAATTTAAAATCTAAGTAAAATGGTTTTCTAATAAATTGCTAATTGTTAAAATTCTATCCAGAGACGTTACAATTTCCAAGAGTTGAATAAAAAACTGGTTGCATATAAAGCCTTGCATTTTATGAAATGCATCTTTAGTACCAAAACCTGATGACAAAGCATCCAGTGTCACTCCTGAGTGTATACTTTTTAAATTGTCTTGGGCAGTGCACAACTGCAATGCGTTCATGATGTCATCATGATGATGTCATGTCCAGGAGACACAAGTTTGCCCAATTTCCCCCAACCTCTGACTCCTGTGATCTCTCTGTCCCCTCTTTCATGATATCCCCTGAACTATTGGGGGTGGGTGAGCTGATGTACATATTCCATTTAGAGATGTCCACAGTTATTTAATCTCTACTGTACAGATACTTTTAAACAGGAAGATGTATATAATATATATAATATATATAATATATACACACACATATATATTCATCAGTACTGCTAAAAGCAAGTGGAAGTGTGTGTGCATGTGTGCACACACATATATACAAGTAACGAGCATAGTGGAGCTGTTTTTATAGCAATGCAGCAGATTGTCAACATTGATTATCTCTAGGGGGATATGAGTGTAAGACCTAATTTATTTCTACATTATACCTATCTACAGTTTAAAAGTTAAACTGGGCGATGGTGGCGCACGCCTTTAATCCCAGCACTCGGGAGGCAGAGGCAGGTGGATCTCTGTGAGTTCGAGACCAGCCTGGTCTACAGAGCTAGTTCCAGGACAGGCTCCAAAGCCACAGCGAAACCCTGTCTCGAAAAACCAAAAAAAAAAAAAAAAAAAAAAAGAGTTAAGTATGATCAAGACATGGTCGCTTGTACCTGTAATTCCTGATACTCAGGGTCTTGAAGTAGGAATATTGCAAATCAAGGCTGCCTGGGAAACTTAGCAAATCAAGGTTACCTGGGCATACAATAAAAAGCTGTGGGGGTGTAGGTCCATGATAAAGGGCTTGCCTGGGTTCAATCTCTAGTGCTGAAAAAATTATTACAATGAGATGATTTCTCTTCTATACTAAATATAATTATAGCCAAAAGTTTGTAGAGGTATTGTTTGGGGTATATCATCTAAGCAACTTTGATTTTTAAAAAATCAATTTATCATATAACTACTGCTCAAAGATTATTCATGTGTCAAGAAAAGAATCCTGTGTGAAAACTAGGAGGGGAATAGCTAGTCCATCCTCTATGTTTTATGTTATTGCTTTTATCTGTTGGAGACTCTATCTAGAGGCCAATCGTGTTGTCCTTTGCTGAGCCAAGTAGGGCCTTGGAAGTTAAATTGGATGCGACAGTTTCTTTAGTACATATGGGTCCTGTGGTTTATCCCCTTGTTACCCACTGTATTTACTCCTTCCTGTGCTCCCCTCCCTGTAGTCTCAGTACTCAACCCTTGAGCCACATCTCATTCTTTGGGGGAAGAAGAAGAAGAAGAAGTGAGGATGTCACTTAATATTGACCAATGATCTTTTTTCCAACAGAAACCTGGAGGGACAAGAGCAGTGTCAACAATGAATAGGCCACCTGTCACCACCAACTACAGATGACTTGCCGTTTCCTTTACAAAGGTAAGGAAATGTATTCTGTATCCCTAATCCTGACAGATGCTCTACATGGCACTAAATTTTCCTACTGTATCTTTATTTACCTACCCAGTTCATGATGGTTACCTTGGACTGTGTCGAATTTCAAACACACAGGACATGGAACGATTTTAATGTCTGTGTGTGAAGGGACAAAGCATGGGAAGGAAGGAACATGCCATGAATTACGATGCTTGGCTAATTTTCAATCACCTTAGAATTCTCCTTAATTTTAAACTAATACTCTACAGCTAAGTATTAAAAAGAATGCTGGGTTCATTTGCAGTCATATTTGGGTAACTCACCGGTGCTTCTCAGAATATCTTCCCTCCTTTCTTTTCTAGAAATAGGATGATTGCAATGTTGTCATCTTTGCTCATCTTGGCTCACACTTGCAAGTACGCATTGTACCCAGTACAGAAATTTAACAAGCCCAAGTGAGAGCAGAGAGTAAACCCACTGTGCCCAGTTTAAAAGTCCTTCGTGGTTCGCTATTGTGGCCCTTAGTGTTGTCATCTTGGGAGGTCTGGAATCTCCTGGAGACTGGCCTCTGGGCTGTCTGTGGGAGATTATCTTGATTGCAGTGACAGAGGTGGGTAGACTGGCCACAGTGCTTGAGAATTTTTGTGCTCCCTGAGCGATGATCCTGGACCATATAAAGAGTGAACTGAAAACAGGCAAGTAAGCCATTGCCTTCTCTTCTTGCTAGAGCCATAATGTGGGTAGCTGCTTCAGGCTCCTGGGCGCTGATTTCCCCACAGTGATGAACTGTACTTTGAACTAAAATCAGACCTTTCTCCCTTAAGTGGCTTTGGTCATAGTATTATATCACAGCAACAGGGAGAGAAAAAAATAACACTTTTGAACTCAGTTGACCCTTTAGGGGTGCTGAAGGGGGACTATCAATAAATATTGATCAGTGATTTTGTTTCTAACACTACCCCAGGGTGAGGAGCAGAAGCACTATCAGTGATGAATAAGGCACCCGTCACTACCATGGCCCTCCTTTATCTGTTTTGTGCTTCTCAAGAGGAATCGAAATGAATTGAGTAAGCTGGTGTAGTGTCCACCTCCTCTTCCCTGTTGTTGAGTCAGGAGTGACTTACAGAGTAATGAAATGTACTTTGAGACTCTCTGCTCCCTGCCCTTCATTCACGTCACTGAGTCCATTCCCCAGAGGTTGTTTCTCAACTCCCTGCAGAGCGGCTTAAGTGTTTCCATTTTCAAAGCCAAGGGTCTGAGAAGTGCAGCTCCTCATACGGCATTCATTGTTGAAGGAGATCCTTCTTCTCTCGGCTCTGGTGAGCCGACTGGAGGTCGGCTTTTTGCCCCAAGCTGATATTGCTAAGTCTTTCAAGCATTTTAATCTTCCTAGCACTTTATTCAGAACCCATTAAAGTACTATTCTAAGGAAACTAGGGGGGAAAAAAACAGTTCCTCTTTAAACAAATAAAGCAGATGTTTTGTGAAACAGAGGTCTTTGTAGACTTCCAATTCTAATATTGACAGGTTGAATGGAGTCCATTTGAGAGTCAAGAGGATAAGACAGGGAGTGGAAGGATGATTGTGGTAGCAATGGACCTGGTGGGCCTCATCTAATTCCATATATTCCTTCTTCTGAATGGTCTTAGTCATGTTGGGCACCCTGTAGCAAGGGTGAACTCAGTTATTTAGTTCAGGTGTGGAGACATGACTGGCTAATTCTTTGGCGCCACAAATACTGAACTTATTCAAAAGCCCAGGCTTGTAGCAAAGTCAGCTCTGTCTCTCCCTGGGGTATTAAATGCCCTTCATGTAGTTTAAGCTCCTGGAGTGTTCTTAGAGTTGATGGTAAGTAGCAAAGAGTTTCAAACTGGACAGTGAGCAGAGAGTGAGAGACTGTGAAGCAGTCAGCCTGCAAGATCTGTCGTCATCAAACCTCTCCCCTCAGGGCTCAGGGATCTGTAGGAAAGAAGAGGAGAAAGGCTGTAAGAGCCAGAGGCAGTGGATGACTCCAAGGAGATATAACATCTCCCAAACCCAACAGAACTAGAACACTAAGACTCTAAGAGATAGATTAGCAGAAGTCTGGGAAACTCAAAAGAAAACACACAAAGAACTAACAACAGTGTGGGGGAAAATTAATCTTCATTAGTAATTTTCAAAACTGAAAATTAAAATGAGGAGAACCCTTATTTAGCTCCATCAGATTATCAAAGATATCTAAAATAGAGTTGTAGCCGGGCGGTGGTGGCGCACGCCTTTAATCCCAGCACTTGGGAGGCAGAGGCAGGCGGATCTCTGTGAGTTCGAGACCAGCCTGGCCTACAAGAGCTAGTTCCAGGACAGGCTCCAAAACCACAGAGAAACCCTGTCTCGAAAAAGCAAAAAAAAAAAAAAAAAAAAAATAGAGTTGTCATTTCTGACAGGCTCCCAATCACTATAGTCAGAGTTAGGAGTGGGTATAGACTTCCTGGAAGGCGATTTACTAGATATTGGTAAAACTTAATACTGCGGTATAACTTAGTTGTTCCAGGATTGAATCCAAGGTAACAATGGTATTGGATAAAGATATAAGCACAGATAGTTACTATATCATTTGTGGAAGCAAAATTTTTGAGCCACCTCAACAATCCATCAGTATTAGCATTATTAACTAAAGTACTGACACACAATTAGATTCACACAGTGATGTCTCCTTGCTTCTAAAAGAAAATATTCTTTTCCCAGGAAGGATTTTTTTTCTTTTTATCATAAAAGGTACATACACTTATAATATCACCAAGACGGATATTACCATTTTCCATATCACAATGCACATGTCAAAAGGCAGAGACAACTATGCTAACACGGGAATCATGAAGCTGCTTCGGGAAGTAATATTAAGAGTGGAGTTTTGTGTACCTTCTGATTCATAATTTTGGTACTTTCCAGATATTTTTACAGTGAGCTCTTACAACCTGAAGCAAAGTAAATTTTAAATAGCTTTTAACAAGAAATCTATCCACATGAAAAGGCTTTAGGTTTCTACAACGTCATTCTTCAGGCTTACAGAGTAAAGAATACTCCCAATAAATACTCTTGGATTTTCTTTTTTCTTTTTCCTTTGTTTGTCTTTCTTTGAAACAACGGCAGTAACAACAGCGAAAGCAATGTGCAAAATACATCTTTTTCTTTAGCAGCATTATTATGTTGCACTGATAGAATAGCATTCAGATTTCTAAGGGAAATACTTCTCCTTTGCAGATGTCGTCAACTGGTGAAAATGGAGACACCATACCTGGAAAACAAAACGAAGAAAAAACCTACAAAAAGGTGAGCGTTTGACTTTCTTCTGCTGTTTGCCAGGTTGTTGTTAGTCCTCTTCTTCCTCCAAAGCCATTATTATTACTTCCTCTTGCTGCTCTACCAAATTAGCAAAAACGTGGTGGCTTAACTGACCTAATGTATCACCGCATAGTTGTAAAGGTCAGATGTCCGACGGGGTGTCGCTGGTGTCCACAGAGCTGCGTTCCTTCCAGAGCTGGTAGGGGACAACCAAGTCCTTGTTCTGTCCAGTTACTAGATGTACCCATTATCGCATCTTCTTCCATCTCAATGCCAGCAGTGGCCGGAGGAGTCTTTCTTGGGCTGTATCCTTCTGCTACTACACAGAACAGTGGCTAGCACCATGCCCTCTCAGATAATGCAAAAGACTTTCTTTATTTCAAAGTTAGCTGATCAACAACCTTAACATTCACTAGCCTAAACTCTTCATTGCCCCGTAACATATTCATAGGGTCCCAGGATTTGGGGGCTATCTTTGAGGGACATCTTTCTGCACACCCCTGTGACCATTTGAACTTAAGTCTGGGAACGCAGTTATTTCTCTGCCTCCTTCATTATTCATATGGAAGAAGACTCTCAGTAGCATGCGATGTCCCATGTCTAGCATGTGAGTCCTTTGACTCACTGCAGCACACTAAGTACTTTCTGTCACTAAGTTAGGAAAGAAGGTGTCAGTGTGCATTGCTGCCACTCCCTGAAGTTTTTGAATCCTCTGAGATTTTGTGTCTTCGGCCCATTTCCCACAGACCTCTTTTTCCAGGCTTCCAAGTGTATCTTACCACTCTTTGAATTTGATAAATTCTTGACTCTTAGCAATCAAGCTATCATTATTGGGTAAATATAGCCCTAAGCACCACTCTCGCCCCTTGTAAGTCAACCTTACACTTAACAGCTTTTAAAAGTCCTTGCCCTCCTGCTCTCCTGGGATTAGGAGGTTTGTTTATTGAAGTTTTAGTGTATCCTATTTTTTTTTTTTTGTTTCTGTGTGCTCTTCTTTGATGGACAGCTCTTGTGTGTTGCAGTTAAGGACAGCTCCCTCTCCTGTCTACTGACAGGAACAAGAAAGACCCCAAAGGAATCTGTGAAAATGTTTCAGTTTGACTGACAAGGGGAAGCGAGACCTAAAAAACAGCCTGGTAGCCTCCACTGAGGTGGTGAGAGCAGCCACTGTGGACTAGTGTTAACCAGTGGTCTTGGACTCTCTGTACGGGGCTCCAAATGAGGCGGGCAGCAGCCAGCATCATGCGGCGTAATCATCCCCACATGTTTTGCGGAACTCTGAGTGTTCATGAACTCTATGCTCTCGGTGTCTTGATCATTTGCACGTGATTGTTGAGCTGGCTGCTTTTGGTTCTTCCCATTGCCCATTTCTCTCATGTATATTGTCAATTCTTGGCAAGCCCAGGAGGAAGTGAGCATAAACCCGTACGGTTAATGTCTTCAACTAAGGGCTACAACAAGTCGGGTTTTAGCTGTGTAAAACAAACATGTTGCCCATTAAGGCAGGCATTAATGGCTGCCTCTCTGTGTTTACAGAGTCTAGGATTTCCACTCTCAGTTAATGTGCTGAATGTCTTCCGCTAGAGCTGTAAACACAAAAGCCTACAGGAGCCAGGCAGGAAACAGGTTTTGTTATAACTACGGGAACTATGGTCAGGGATCCATGCCTTCCTTCGGGGAGGGGTGGCGCTCAGCTGCCACTAGCCGAGCTGTGTACAACTGGCCACCCCGGCCTGTCGTGTACTCTGATTTAATTAATTAATTTATAGGAAAAGAGAAATCCAAATCTTGATGTGAAATCTCCCAAGTTTTTAATCATCAACTAATTCAGAAGCTTGTTGTACAGTTCCCTCTGGGCACAACAACATACCTGTGGAACCTCTCTCTCTCCTGCAAGCTGCAGCCAGTTTGCAATCTCTGGCACATTCTTGCTGTAAGAAAACGAAGGAGGAAAGAAAAGCATGCAAAAGAAATGCCTCTGAGAACTTCCCGATACTGTTCAGTTCACCTGGGAGAAAAAATATCATCCCGTGTGAATAAAAAAAAAAAACAAAACTAAGTAATGATCAAAACCAGTATTGAGTATTAAATGCCAAGACAAGTAGCAGGCATTTTGTTTAATCATCCCAAGTTCCAAGGAGCTGGAAGGTCGTTGCTGTCTTCCAGGTTCTCCACAGCTTCTAAGCTGGGAGAGCATTTTGTCAGGGTAAAAAATTCCTAATGTCACGGGGAGTGGTGGCTCATGCCTTTAGTTAGTCCCAGCACTCCAGAGGCAAAGGCAGGCAGATTTATGTTTGAAGCCAGCTTAGTCTATAAAGCAAGTTCCAAGATAGCCAAGACTATACAGAGAAACCCTGTCGAGAGAGAGAGAGAGAGAGAGAGAGAGAGAGAGAGAGAGAGAGAGAGAGAGATTTCCTAATGTCTCTTGCCATCTGTCACTCCTTTAGTGGCTGTGCCTTCTAATTTGCTTCCTTATCTCTGTGATGGGCTCTGATGAGCATGGCACACAGTTGGGTGAGGGTGGCTTGCTAGAGGGACAGGGAAAGCTAACTTGAACTCAGCCCAGTGTTGGTATCTGGGACACACAGCAGGTAGTGTGGGCTTGACTCTGAGTCAGCCCTTGGTGCTGGTGTAAAAGGTTTGAACCTTATGTTCCAGGCCAGTGTTAGACAGTAGAACTTTCTGGAACAGGAGAAGTGTTCAATAATCTGCACTAAGCCCGTGGCTGTAAGATTTGTGAGGTTGTCAGGTGGCAAGCATGTCTGAGGAACTACATTTTCATTGATGTAATTGTTAAATTGAATTTTAAAATCGATTTTTATTGACTTTGACAGTTTTATACATGTATCTAATGTATTTTGATTGAATTAACCCCCCTTGTTCCCTTTTCTTACCCATTTCCTTCTCTATCTGGAACACTTCTTTCCAACATATCTTTTTCGTAATTTCGTGTCTTTAAAAAAAATTAGCCTATTGTGTTAAATTAGGATTGCCTGTGTGCGCACGGTTGTTGGGTCATTTACTGCATCATGGGCAACTTCCCAGTGGCTACAGTATTGAAGAAAAGTCACTTCTCCTTCCCCTAGCCACCATTAGCTGCCAATAGCTAGCTGATCCTGCAGGGGTGAGAGCCTCAAGTGCCCTTCCCCCATAGGTGTTGTAGTGGTGGCAGCTCTACATCCTTTTCCCTCCTCTCTGAGGTGTGTGTGTGTGTGTGTGTGTGTGTGTGTGTGTGTGTGTGTGTAATCTGTGTGTGTGTGTAATCTGTGTGTGTGTGTGTGTGTGTGTAATCTGTGTGTCTGTGTGACATAGATATCCCATTTAGGATTGAGCAGGCAACCATCATTTATTCTCCATGCTTTGACAAATTATGAGTCTCTGCAGTGATTACTGCCCGCTGTAAAAAGAAGCTTCTCTGACCAGGGTTGAGGGCAGCACTAATCTATGTGTATAAAAGATAAATATTGAGAAGGCCATTTGACAGCTGGTTCCTTTAGCAGAACAACAGTAGAGATTCCCCTTGGGGCTTATGATCCTCTGGGCACAGGCCTTTGACTGCAATTACAGTACAGGAATTCTCCCCTGTGGAGCAGGCCCCAAAGCCAATCAGAATGGGCTTAGTTATCCCTGTAGGTCATGCCACTGCTGAATCACTGGGCACATCTTGTCTGGCAGGTCAGTCTGCAGCGTGCAGAGTCCACCAATGGATAAAACCATTGTGACTTGATGACTTTTACACACTCGAAGGCTGAGGGACTCCGTTTTTAATCTGTGTTAGTAAGCTTGAAGCTTGAACAGGTTTGTGTTGGTTACAATGATGAATGGTGCGGTTGTAGGTACTTAGGCACTGTGGCACTGTTGTGGAGAACAGTGGGAGGGTATGGCGGCTATACACACCTAGCAGAGGCACAAGGTGCCTGAGGTCAGGGGACTGTGGCACCAGTGGCTTTTCTATTCAAGAGGACAAGAATTGGGCACAAACTAACATGGGAAAAGATGGACGAAAACATTTCCAAGAGAAGTTCTCTCGTGTAGTCAGGGCGAGCCTCAAATTCACAATTCTCCTGTCTCTGGCTCTTCAGGGCTCAGGTTTCAGGTGAACTTGACCATCCTATCAAGAAGAATAATTTTGAAAAGCATCGCAATAAAGAATTACCTGAAAGTTTGTGATCGGAGTGACTGCCAGAATTTTCCTGCTACTAGGAGAGGATATTGTGTTGCTTGGGGGATTTATGGCCAGATACGAGACTCAGAAGCAAGCAGAAGGCAAGGCATCTGTAGGAATGGTCAACACTTGAATAAGAGCCAAGCCTCTGCATTTTTTTTTAATGGATTTTGTTTTTTTCAAGACAGGGTCTCATTATATAGCCTGGAACCCACTGGGTAGACCAAGCTAACCTTGAATTCACAGAGATCTGCCTGCCTCTGCCTCCAATTGCTGGAATTAAGGATGTGCGCCACCATACTTGGCCTCTGTATTTTTCTATAATGATATATATATATTCATACATTCACGCACTAAATATTAATGTATTATATATGTATGCATTCTGATACCTGAAGAGAACAGAAAAGGGTGTTTAATCCCTTAGAACTGGTGTGATAGGCAGTTGTGACCCTCCCAATGTGGGTGCTAAGAACCAAACCAAATTTCCCCACAAGAGCAGCAAGTGCTCTTAACCATTTAGCCATTTCTTCAGCCCCCAAGCCTCTGCATTTTCAATGTGATAAAACTGCTTAGTCCTTATTCCTCCCGAAGCAACAGATGTCAGGATTGCTAAGTGATGCATCCCAGATCACCTAGCAGTCCTTTTCCAAAAAGATGTCCCACAGTTGGAATTGCTAGTGTCCCAGCCTGCGGGGCACATGCTGGTACAGGAAGTGTTTGTTGTTGTCATTTGCCTTTCTGTCTCTATCACCTCACCCCGTACCTTGTCCTTCCAGCCTACTTCTCCTTTCTAGGCCTGTCCACAGCACCCTTTATCCCC